CAGGAATGATCCCTTCCGCAGGCCCCAAGGATGAGGTCCTCCTTATTGCGGGCCTCTTTTTTTACAATAGTTGTCTCTCACCTTCCTCAGTCAAGTCGAGGATTAAAGGCTATTTTGTCCTGATGATTCCCTGAATCTGGGCACGTGCATATATGCAGATCTGCCATTTAGTACATAATTGAAAAAAAGACGTTATGGCAATGTGCATGTGATGTATTTCTACAGTAAGACCTGATGTAAAATCATCAGTGGAATTAAAGGGGCTTCCTGCTGCTTTCTTCATTGATTATGATTTATAAGCAGTCACATAGGCATGTCAGCAGGGACAAGTTTTGAAGTGCTTCGTATTTACACAACTTCTCTCACTTCCACTTACTGCTTTTCAGTGGCCTGAGTGTGCACCTTGACTGACCTGACATCCCCTAGTTTGGTATCATTGTTCCATACACTTCTAGTAGTGCAAATTGTGTATTTAACTGAAACTATAATTGTAAAGTACTTGAAATGTCAACTGAAACGTTGTGGGAGGCATGTTTTCAATGTTAAATCAACTTCCAACAGTGTTCAGTAAAGCTTTGTTATGAATAGTTTGCTAATGCTGAATTTTAATGCAAAATGTTAAGCCAGGCTGCATGCAGTTGACAAATAAGTTGGTTGAAAAGTGCATTTACAGTGAACTGTAAGTGTGCTTCAGGAAAGTACTGAAATTTTGTATGACCTATACTGAAGAGCTCAGTACTTTTTTTTCCCCTGCTCACTCAGAGAGTGTTTGTTCTTGTGTTGTCTTAGAAGTTAAGTGGGTAAATTACCCACACCAAGAAAAATACTCAATGTCCTTGATTTCAACTGCATGCTACTTTTTGCTGACAATTCCAGAAACGTTATTTTTTAAACTATCTTGGATTGCATATGGTATAGATTATCTGAATCTGTGCTTTCTGAGTGCGGGAACAAGTTGGAGTACTGCTTTTTATGCTCTTTCCATTATGCCTTTCTTCATCAGTTATTGTCTGCTGTCATAATGTCCTTTGTTTCATTACATTCATTTGTAATGTTTCCTCCTCCAAAGTACTGTTGGGGGGGATTAAAAATTCTTTTGTATTTATGTCATTTTGCACACACTGTCTTTTCTTAATCCTTCAGACTCTTCTGTCCGAAAGATGGAAATCTGGTTTATTCATAGGATAGGTGACAGCATTAGAGGTAAAAATTTTCCATGTAGTGAAACAGTAGTTGCAGTCTCATTCCTCGGGAAACTAGACAGAAAACACAAATATATTTCCCATCACTGTCCATGGGAAAAGTGCAAACAGTTAATATCAATTATCTTTATCATAGCTAAGCTTTACTGTGTTTTACGCAGCTCACCTTTTTTTAGGCAAAAGGCTTTGTGGCTTGCTTTCTGCTCTCTGTGCTAGCAACTTCCTGCCTCAGTTCTTCAAGTGAATGTTTTCATATTCCTTTAGAGGGATTTTTGCAAACATTCCTTTGTATGCTTACATTTTTGCATATTCGCTTTCTGCTTTAACATTTTAAATATTGCATACTATTCTAGTTAACACAGATCTGAAAAGATATAATGGAATTAAAACAAATCGGAGAGAGAGGAGGGATGGTGAGGAGTGCAGAGGTTCTCTCTTGTGAGTGATAGCTAAAATGAAGAGAACCTATTAACTTACAAGAGCAATAATGATTGAAAATTCATGAAAGAATGAAGTAAATAGAGGATTATGATTTGCTGGGTTTTATGGCAAAGGAACTGTTGAGTAATAAGCATAACAAAAAGCGTTACTGTTCTGCAGCCCATGTAACTGTTCTTAAGTTGTAGAATTCGTTGCCCTCGGATGTACTTTTGTTGAGAAAAGCAGACCGAAAAATGAGCAAGACAAATGTCATGGGAGGTGTGTCTGTCAGTGAGTGTTTAAAAATGGTAGGCAAATATGTCCCCTGGCACAGATGGACCATAAAGTTCTGGCTGCTTTAAGTTGGGAAAGACCAGTATGAGCTTATTCTGTTTCTTACGCTGTGTCTGTGAATATCTGCTATTCACCAACAGTATGGTGAACCAGACAGATCTTTACGAAGGCTGAATGTGGGTTATAAATTGCTTTCTGTTTAAAAACAAAAATATAAGTATATTGTCAATATATTGCTGATAATTTTCTTTCTTTTCAGATGTTTGCTTTTCTAGATTACAAATGCATAAAAACATAAGATTGGCAAAAATCTTACAGAAATAATTTCTGTACCTGCTTTTGGCACATGATGACTTCTGACACCATAGGTGATTCTCTTGCATACAGTAATGTGTACAGTCCCAGTGACGAGGACCCTCCCCTGCAACCTGTCCTACGCTCTGTATTGGCACACGTGGTACCTGAAGAGTGTGCAGACAGTAGTAGCACAGTTTTCAACATCTGTCAGTGTGTGTTCAACAGTTTTTCAGTAGCTGCTTGATGTTAAGCTTGGATTTCTTGATTACCTTTTGAAGATCTTGAGTACACAGAACCACAAGGATGTCAGCCAACAGACGGGAAAGCACAGAAATCGATAGTTGATCAAAGATTAGAAGGGGAAGTTGAGGCACGGAGGGTGCCATATACAGAGTTATTCAGTTTATTGTTAGCAAAGCTACAAATAGAACCT